TCACTCTTTATTTTCACGTTTATTACAAATGTAGTTTTGTACAGTAAGTTACTTTCACGAGGAAGTTCAACTAACAACACAACTATCCCATCATGCATTTGTCTCTCAGTATTACGTCATACTAATATTTGGATAACATACAGTTTTATATTGAACTCAACAGTCTCTGACAAAGAATTGAAACAACAGCGCATGTCTCTGACAAAGAATTTAAATACTAGCACATGTCTTTCACAAAGAATTGAAATACCAGCACATGTCAATGACAAAGAATTAAGACTCCAGCGCATGTCTCTGACAAAGAATTCAAATACCAGCACATGTCTATGACAAATAATTGAAATACCAGAACTTGTCTATGACAAATAATTGAAATACCAGCACATGTTATGACAAAGAATTGAAATACCAGTACAGGTCTATCACAAATAATTGAAATACCAACACATTTATTGTCTCTGAAAAAGAATTGAAATACCAGCACATGTCTATGACAAAGAATTGTCGAACTTGTACAAATAATAACCACTTATATTACTAAATAATAACCACTTACTAAACAGGTCCAAACCCTTACTGTGCAGCAAGACAAATATTTGATATTTTCCTCTAGAGCCAAAGGATAGAGATTAAGTCATTTTAGGGTCGGGGTATCAAGGGGAGGGAGATAGCCGCATCTTTAATTTATTCCTAAAATATAGGAATAAACGGAACTAATTACTGTGACGTCGGCCGTAACCAGGAGTCCAGAATTTCATTGTTATCTGGACATTTATTGCGTTTCCGGACGCCATATTTAATTTAGCAAGGCAGGAACAGTTTTACTAAAAATTTGAATATTGTAGTCAAATATTTGACACGCTTAGCCATTGGGCTGCCTATATCATGGTAATACGGGAAAATCCTACGATATCCGCGCCAGCTAGCCAGACTGCACGATTCACCAAAACAAATGAATATATTTGTACCTGAGCAAATGAAAATATAACCAATAATATCACACGGAAAATATGATCAAGAATGATATATTTTTCTACTTCCCTCATGCACATACAGTGTACAACAAATAGTTAATTTCCTATTTATATTCCTTTTACTATAGTATAATTACTTTACTTTAGTGGCTTTTACCATTTTCAAGTTTATTCTTTTTTCTTTTTAAAAGTAACCTGAAAATGAAATAAATCAGATTAATATCAGGCTATCAGCATAGAAATATTAGGCGGCTGGCGGGAAAAGAAGATGATAGCCCCATCATTGTTAACGATTCCGAATATGTTCTTTCTTTCTTGTTTCGAATGAACGTCGTTTCACCAATGTAGTTCCATGTAGGGCAATCTCCGCAAGGGATTGATAAGTACTAGTTAAAACATGCATGTGCAACCGATCCATCTTATGAGTTCATTGGCGAAGTAATTTTAAGAATAAACATTGTCTAAGCCGAGGAAATCAAAGCTGAAGTTTATGTAAATCAGGACAAATCTTTATCCAAATTACAAACATTGTTTAATTAAACATTCCTTTCTTTTGTATTTTCCTCATGAATCATTAATGAGTTTTTTAACGTAGTTTAAAAACTCATTAATAATTCATGAGGAAAAGAAATATAATAATAATAACTTTTTCAATCAAAGTCTCAATATTGGTACATAGAATACATGGGTAAATAACTAAATAAGTCATTACAATCTATAACAATAACAAAAATATTAATATATATGAACGAAGTTGATAAATATATAAATTCGCATACCTACACACACACACGCACGCACACGTGAGTAATTAGACCAGAAAAACTCATTAATAATTCAGGAGCAAAACACAAAGAAAAATCATAAGCGTGTCGTGGTTTTATATGTGATAAAAAATCATGTTAATTTACATAAACTTTAGCTTTGATTTTCTCGGTTTAGACAAAGTTTATTTTAAAGTGTTTATGAAACGGCTGAAAATTTTTTCTGAAATTGTGTTGATTTTATAGTTTAAAGTACGCTGAATATCATACTGCATTTTATTTTCGCCCCGCGATTCTTTAAAGTGGATTTTTTAAGCTACAAAGTTCAGCAATTTGGCTATTTTTTGTCCCGGGGTCTGGACCCGAGTGAAAACAGCGCGTGACGTCACTGGTTGTACCAGTGAACTAAATATAACTGGAACGCTACCTTCTGATAATTTCGTGAAGCCAAAATTTGCGGGACTTTACCTCCAGACACGCGTGTCTGGAGGTAAAGTCCCGCAAATTTTGGCTTCATTCGCGATTCCCTCGCGAGATCGCGGTGGGGGGTGAAGCGTGCTGTTTGTATTCAGAAGAACAACAATGTGCGAGCAGAGCGAATTTGCAAGAAATTTGTTGTATATTTTATGGTTTTAAATTTTAGTTTTTTTTGTTTGGACTATAATGGAATTAATTTTAACTCAACCAAGTAAAATTTAGCCGAATGGAGTTGCCAATCGGCTAGGAAACAAACGCTATAAACGAAACAACTTGGCGATGTGCAAATCCGCCAAATTATTTGTACGAGCGTCAGACCCTTTGAAGATTTTATCAAAACAAGTGAGTAAATTCTTTATTTTAACTTAGTATTACAAACCTAATAATTATTAAACAAAGTAATTTTGTTAAACAAGTGTCGATCACTTTGTTTCCCTTCATTTACGATCTCTTTGACGTATTTCTTTCCAAAGCTGAACAGCCGCAACGTAAAATATTTGTCCGCGACACGTTTCATTAAATTTGTTCTGTGGTCGTCAACTAGAATTTCGTTGTCATCATCTTCATGGTCTGTGAACAGCTCAGATGTTGAGTCCAATGTGAAATGTTGGAAGACGTTCACGATCATTTTTTTCTTTAGGTTTCCCTCGTTGCTTATTTGTTTGCCGTCTTTACCCGTAACAGTAGCTTTGAAAACGTGCTCGCAGTATTCGACCGTTCGAAACACAGATGTTGATGGGATCTGCAAACCACCCCTATTGACAAATGTGGTAAATGACGATGCCTTTCCTGCTTCATGATATATGGTTGAAGTATAGTCATGTCCGTTTGCAGGCAATTGTTTTGGCAGAGGAAGAAGGCTCTTTTTGCATGCTGGACAAACTAGGGTTTTCATAAGTTTGGAAACAATGTACCCTGCGATGTAAAACAGAACATTCGAGGTAAATTCACTATGCCCTTCTTCGTTTAAATGTTCACACATAGAAAATATGTCACTTGAGTCATTGTTGGAGGCAGAGGCTTCCACAATATTTTCGTAGGTGGTTGACTTTTTGTGCTTTCTTGTATGGAATATGGGGATAATGTTATTACATCCTGTAAAATCCACACAGTTGGCATATTTCGATGCTGTAATGGCATTTCGCATCAACATCTTTCGAATTGCATACTTGAACTGTAAAACGTTAGGGTTGTTATTCCAGCCTCCTCTTGAGCGTATGCATGAAAAAAGAAGTTTGATGTGGTCCTGTGAGAATTTGTAAGTTAATAAGTACTTGAAAGGATTGGTGGGTAAACTAAACATTTGTGTAGCCATGGAAATTGTAGATTTGATACATGCCACGAACCCAATTACAAATGTTTTACGTTGCGAGGTGGAAAGTAGTTGACCTGTAGGTGCACTTGTTTTCAACGACAGTAGATAGTCTGCTGTTGACATTAAGATTTCTTCCCATGTGTCCTTGGTTTTCGGATGAAGGGGTGTCTTGAAACCTTTAGCGATTGGGTTACGAGAATTCAGCATGTCAAATAACCGGTCGATTGTGCGGATAAATATAACTGTACCATGACTATCGTGAAAACTGGACAACTTCATTGATTTGTCCAGGAATTCTACAGCATTAGCCACTGAAGAACTTAATGTTTGCGCTGCTAGTCTAACATTCATTTTGTGTTTTTGAAATTTCAGGTGATTTGGGGAAAGTTTGTTACCCAGATTCAGTCCTTCCACTTCTTGTAACTTTTGAAGTTCCTCAATGTGGTGCCACCTTATCACATTTCCCTCACCATCAACAATGGTCCCGAGGTGTGCCAAAGCATTACGAGCAAGTTTAAGCATGTGGCAGGGGTCAAGAATGATAAAAACATCTTCACCAGTAGTTGGATGAATAATTGAAGTGGTCATCTCATCGTAACTGCCATTAAAACTACAACCGAGAATTTCAAATGTTCTAAGGTTGACTGCTGTGCCATCCGCTGTCACCGACCATACCTTTAGTCCAGCCTTTGCTGCCATTTCCAATGATTTCGATACTAATTTTGCCTGGTCTTTGGCGCTGATTTTATCTCCTAAAAAGTATCCGATGGGACATTTCCAATGACTTCTTGTTCCGACCAACAGAAAAACTAATGCCTCAGAAGCCAGTGTTGCTGACTTATCATTATGAATTTCATCACCAAGATCAACAAATCCTGAGTACCGATCTTTTTCAGCATCCCAGAGTGTCTGCTTACGAATGGACATTGCATCGATTACCAAACAGCAGTCCTTGTTAATTGGTGAACCAGAGATTAAATCAGACAGGGATGTGAATGCTTCTTCTATGAAGCCTGGGTCACATTTAAACGAAGTTGACCATTTCGTATCAAAGATTGGTTTGGCAATGGGATAATGGATCTAACATATTTGTATGCTTTCGGTGAGTAAAAGTATAAAGTCACAGCAAACTCTTTTATTTCATCCGAATATCTCCTTCCTGATGGTGATGCCTTTAAGTTTTTGAAATTATATAGAAATTGAAGATGTTTATTTTCAAATGTTGATTGCAGACTTTCTGCTTCTTTTGAAGTTATCAGTGATCTTTCTTCCAACACTTTGATGGCTTCGTTCATAGTTTTGACTTTCTGTTTTGACCTTCGTAATTGCTGTTGTAAGTTGCGAATTTTTTGTCTAAGTTTTGTTTGTAACTCATCTCTTTTTTCTTCTGTAGATGCAGTTTTGGCGATTTTTTCTGGAGGCGAGAGGTTTTCCAAATCAGTTGTGGGGATTGGTCTCTTGTTCGACAGGTCCAGCCTGCATCTTGTTTTGTTGGGTATTGTAAACAACATGGTTGCCGTGTCATGGGACTTTGATGGTATGACATACTTTTTTAGTCGACATGACCCATTCACTGAAGGAGGGGTGATGTAATCTGTTACTTGGAAGTGGTCGCTACAAAGACGGCTAGTACTGGTTGCCCTCCATGGTTCTTTAAGTATATTGGGCCTATTGGCTTCTTGAACAAAATGCTCCCACTGCTCTAAAGCATGCTTATCTTTCATTGGAAATCTATAATAGTTTACAACATACATATATTGTGAGCAGCCAATTTGGCTTTATTGGTACTGAAAAGATGACTCTTGTCTTACATGGTTTGTGCTGTGGTTTTCAACATGTAAGGGTTACACTTAAGCCCCGCACAGACAAGTACTTTTTCCTTGACACATTAGATTTGCTTGTGTGTATGTGAAAAAAATGACAAGTTTTCCTTGACAAGGAGCCTGGTTCAAAACGTGGTCATGCCAAATTTTGAACCAGGAAAACTTGTCAAGAAAAAATTGCTTGTCTGTGCGGGCAAAGATGCAACAATATAAGACCCTGATGCTTGTGATGTTACTCTGAGTGTATATCCACACTGGTCAAGCTTGAAAAATATGCCTGGCCATGGTGGGAAAGAACCTACGACCTTTGGAATACTAGCCCAGGCATATTTTTTCAAGCTTGGCCAGTGTGGATATACACTCAGATTAACATCACAAGCATCATATTCACCTGAGTACATTACACCGCACACAAAAAAATTTAATATAGACCCTGTTGTCATTGTAAAAGCAATGATAGCCAAAAATGGTGATAAAGTAGTATGTAGAAATATATGCTTGTAGATTTCAGTACAAGAAGTGTAATTTTAATCTGTTTTATTAAATGTTAAGATATCCTTTCCATGTGTTGTTTTTTTATCTTGTTAAAGTAAGGAAGTAATTGTCATTACCTGTGAAAAGCTACAGTAGCATTTTGTCCATGGTGAGGAATACCCCTGTTTGTACACCCAAGTATAACACAGTTAAGTGGCATGATTTTTACTCACTAACACTGTCACAAAAATATCAATTTTTCCTTTAATTTCGCAGTTTTTTTCTTCCCTTTAAATATTTTTTACTAAACAACTACAGTAAATATGCGCAATAAATTAAAAAAGGACTGGGTAGAGGAGAAACTTCAATGTTTTGAGCACTCCTAAAAGCTAAAATTTCATCACAAAATACACTTGATACTGACACTATTTTATATTATAAGTTTATGTTTGCTTCATTCCCATTCCTAAGTGACTAGATTGCACAAAAAATGCATCAATTATAGAAAAAAAATCTCCCAACATGGTAAATGAAAACTTCACGCCTGGGCGCAATGTTTTTTCCTAACAAAGAACCGGTTTGTTCAGCATTTCCATACAAAGTATTCAAAAAATGCAGTCTATTAATCAAGAATGTTTAAACTAGCCGAAGGTAGTGACAAAATTAGTTCTTATCTCCCTAAAACGAGTTTTTTTTATGAGTTTCGACCCGATCAGACGAAATCGCATAAAAATATTTTGTTTGGCCGTGTTTGTTTTTACGTGGAAAGACTGGGGGTGACTTGCATAATTGAGCATCAAGCTTCCGGTTGAAGGTAGCGTTCCAGTTATATTCATTTCACTGGGTTGTAGTGATGGGCGATACCAGGATTTTTAATTCGATACCGATACCGATACTTTTAAGATCGGTATCGGCCGATACCGATACCTATTTCGATACCAAAATGAACACAAAATTTCAATTTTCGATACCGGAAGTGAGTACTTAAATTGCTAGTATCGGCTACTTTCGATACCTGCCGGTCAGCGGAAAAACATTTTACATTACTGTATGTAACCTAAATAAAGCTATATGTAAACCAAAAGCCTGAAACGTAATAAATATTTTCTATACATGACTTGGCACAGCACATTTGGAATATTAAGACTTATTTTAGTGGTTCATTAAGTCTTATTCAACCAAGAAGTGAAATTAAACAAGTCGTTTAAAAAAGGGTGCAAGTATCGAACGATACCACGTCAGTAATCGATACCGATACCGCTGTTTGTGGTATCGCTGGTATCGAATACCAAGTACTCGGTATCGCCCATCACTACTGGGTTGTACACACATGTTGACATTCTCAATATAAACAGTAAAGAACATTTGTATTATCGCGCTGTATAAAATATTTTATCGTGATTTCTACTCTTTTACTATGTCGCACAGCGAAGATTCTCTTAGTTACCCTAGCTTAGAGTCTGATAACATAACGGAGAGCAATTTAAAAGGAAATATGAACGTAACGAATTGTTTTGAGCCGTATCAAGGGGAACTATTGCCAGTACAGACGACAGCGAATCTTCTGATGAGGAACAGGACGAAGATTACATTTTGCCATCTGTTTTGGAGAAGCGTTTAGAAAAAATATTCCATTAGCAAATTGGTGAGTTCTACAAACAATACTAAGTTACTTTATTATGATTTTCATGCAATATTTCCCTGATATTTGCCATATTATTTATTTCTGTTGTAGGTGTTCGTGTGAGAATTGTGCCGATCAAAATCTGGCGAGTGTTGAGAGTACTGTTGCTGCAAAGAGATTGTGGAAGTAACTGGAAAATTTACTTGGATTGGCAAGAATGTTGAATACATCCTTAATCAATGCTATGACAAAAGAGAAGTGTAGTTGGGCCTCTTCTAAAAAACAAACATGGAACTGATGTAAGCTCCCATGGAATAAAAAATGGCGCAGATAAAAGGTACATATACTTCGGTTGTGCATATTAATTCTGACTAGTAGCGAAAGTGAAACAACTTTACAGGTTCTATAAAGATAAATTTGTATTGTTATAGATTCCTCAGAGCAGTGTCATATCGTCGGCTGTTTGGCTTGATGGGCTGGGAGAACACCAGCCCTTGTCACCATGCATTTACCATCATGTAATGACTGCATGTATTTTGTACTGGTCATGCTGGTATATATCTGGAGAAGAGCAAACGGTAATGATAACTGAAGTCATTATTATGTAAATATTTCATAACATAAAACCCAAAGAAAAGTATTATTGATACCAAATCTGTAATGTGTATTAATGTTTTACATACCAAATCTGTAATGTGTATTAATGTTTTACATATTTAAAAATCCAGGATTCATAATTAATTGTGTAAACATTCTCTGGTTAAAAAGATTTATTTATTACATATTTATTTAGTAATAAATAAATCTTTTTAACCAGAGGACGTTTACACAATTAGTTTTACTATTGCCCACTTTGAGATCCCTTGACTGAAATGTAAATCAGGCTTTAAAGTTTAAATTCCCAGCAATTCCTAGCTTATGAGGGGTTGGGGGAGGGGGTACACTGACTGATGCATAATTCTGTTCATACTTATTATATTTCAACAATATATAACAACCCTCTTAACTATTTACAATATTTACAAACAATGAAAATATACAGTAAACAGATCAAGTCTGTGGAGCATCGTGTGGACAATGTGATCGCAGGTGACCTTCATTGGTGCCTTGCACTTGCTACATTGTCTGGCTTTTCTCTTTGGCAGTGGGAGATTTTCTGTTGTTTTCCGCTTTTCTGCCTCCAATAATGCTGTTTTTTAACTAAAAAGAATTCATCAAATTATTATATAAGTTATATCAAAAGAATAATAAAGTAATTTGTTGTCTGCTTTGTATATGATAATATTTGTGTTGGTGTTAACAATTGTTCGCCAAAGGTGAGGTGATTATCAGGGAATATTCGCAGAGACAAAGTTGAGGTGAATATTCCCCGACAATCACCGAGTCTGAGGCTTGTCAATGGAAAAGCTCAACAGCTTAATGGGTTAAAAAAATTTTACCAAGACTTTTCTGCATCTGAAGCTGTGTTTACACTACGAGCCTAAGCCTGGCCTAGGTTTGGACTAGATTTTGGTGGTGTCGACTTCGACCGCCACCAGACCACTAGACCATGCACTTCGACCGCCACTAGACCAAGAAATCTGGGCCACCTTTCCTGATGGGCCCAGATTTCCTGGCCTAGGCCAGGCCGAAGTGCATTTACACCACAAAAATCTAGTCCAAAGGTAGGCCAGGCTTAGGCTCGTAGTGTAAACACAGCTTGAGAATTACCTAACTGGCACCCAACATGGTGTGTTTACATCAGATATTGTACCTGGCTAAAGCCCTGAGATCAATCAAAATAGATCATTACATACACATAACATGAAGTAGTGACTTTGAAGAAGTAAATTAAACATAGAAATTGGCTTCAATCACGTATTTAAACTATTAACCACTTGAAGGCAAACTCAATTCAACAACACATTCCAAATACTTTTATGTCTTTCATATTGACATCTACATATTAAACTATGAAAATGTAGCATGAGAGCCTTGCCTTACAAAGCTTTTATTTCATGTTGTTCACTTGCCTTTGGTGGGGAACTATTAAATGTCCGAGTGTCAATTCCAAATTTATAGCAACAAATATTACTATTATACATAGTGTAAACGAGTCTTTATAGAGTTATCTGGTTTTTGCCGTGAAGAGTATTGAATATTTAGATTATGTCAAGGATGAATATGTAACAGCTTCAAAATGCCGCAAACGAACAATTTATGCATATATTTACCTGTCTTCTTTCACGAGCTGAAATCGCCTGAACTTGTGGCCCTGAAACAACGCAATCTAGACTAGGTATCGCGCCTTTCTTCAGCCATCTCTTAGTCGTGAATTTTTCCGGTTCTTGTGGATTAAAATCAAGCCGTTGTTCAAAATCTGTGACCTTGAAACGTGCTGAGCAAAGCACCGAAGTGCTTGATGGCTGCCATTGCGGACGATGTCTTTGAACAATACAAGCCCATTTTGCTCGGACAGAACTATCGCTAGGGAAGCGATGCATCGAAATTCCTTCTGTTTTCGAATTGTTTTTGCAACTGACTTTTCCAGGTCCACCTGTAACACAATACTTTCCAAGAGATTTCCCTTTCGCTCGGCTGTTTTGAGTCTCGGCCATAACAAATTGACATAAATTCACCTTTGGAATGAACGCGCGAGTACAACCAGTGACGTCACGCCATCAATTTGACCGCGCCGTAAGATGGGACAAACAAAGGTCATAGATGGCAAACTTTGTAGCTTAAAAAACCGACTTTAAAGAATCGCGGGGCGAAAATAAAATACAGCATGATATTCAGCGTACTTTAAACTATAAAATCAGCACAATTTCAGGAAAAAATTTCAGCCGTTTCATAAACACTTTAACTATATGTGATAAAACACTCCTACGCGTGCTTTAAATAGTACATATATATATATATATATATATATATATATATATATATATATATATATATATATATATATATATATATATATATATATATATATATATATAGATATATATAGATATATATAGATATATATAGATATATATAGATATATATATCTATATATATATATCTTCCTAGCTCAGCATAAATAGCCATGTTTGTTGATTTTGAATGAACTCCTATGACTCTTTTGCAGAATTTTAGATGGAGTTTTTCAATTGCACTATTGATTTGGAAAATCTTTTTCTTGAACATATCGAAAGAGTTTATTCTGCCCAATAAATGCGGACCCCACACTTCGCAACCATATAATAAGATTGGAGTAACTATCGAAGAAAAACGTTTTAACATTAGTTTTATTGGAACATTTTCAACATTTGAGAAACTTTTAAATATTCTATGATAGGAATGTAATGCTTTTCCGTAGATTATCTTTTGTGCTCGCTTGAAAGTACCAGAAAAGTGAAGAGTAATACCCAGATAACAATATTCATCAACTTGTTCCAAAATGTTTTTGCCGAATGTCCAGATTGATGTAGAATGCCAACGTTTTTTGGGATTAATGTTTAACTTCCACTTTTTGGTATAGTAAACAAGTTTTGTGAGACAATTTGTAACCCTGCCCTGGATTCGGATAATTTTAGGTCGTCTGCGTAAAGCAAACATGGAGTGCATGACCTGTCAAATATATCAGGTAGATCATTAATGAATATAGGTTGAATAAAGTAGGACTTAAGTTACAACCCTGTTTGACTCCTACATGTGACCTAAAGAAAGTTGTATACCCCTCTTCCAGTTTTACCGAACAGTCATAGGAGGAATACATGCTTAACATTAAACGTATGAATCTCTTGCTGCAACCATTCAAGATCAATTTGAAGAAAAGACCCTCTCTCCATACAGTATCGTAAGCTTTTTTGAAGTCAATAAAACAAGCAAAGATTGGTTTACGTTTTGATTTGTAATAATCTGTTAGAGTTTTCAAAACTATAATAAATGATCGGCTGTCCTATAATTTTTTCTAAATCCAATTTGGCAATTACTCATGTTGTTTTCGTCTAGATATTTATTTATTCGTTCATTCATAATTAATGTGAAAAATTTTCCCAAACAACTGCTTATGCATATTCCTCTATAATTATTCGGGTCGATATTACTTCCTGATTTATAAATGGGGACTATAAAACCTTTAGACCGGAGTGATGGGAAGTGTCCATTGGACAATTAGATTTTATTAAACAGTTTTTCAAAGTAGGATGGCAAAACCTCAACTGCTAATTTAATGATCTCATTGGACAACGAGTTATTGGCACTGGCTTTCTTATTCTTTAATCTTTTTGATAATTTGTACACTTCTTCCAGTGATACTGGTCTGTCAAGACTATCGTTTGTACCTATAATGCCCATATATTAAAATCTTTTATGATTTGTGCTTCACTGCTTGCTACTTCAGTATTGATATTTATTTTGTTCAAGTTTTTGAAATAATCAAACCATTCAGATGGTAGAATTTCGTGTGAAGTTCTAGGTTTTTGAGCTTTTATGGAGTTAACGAGTTTCCAGAAATGTTTAGGATTGTTTTCAGATAATAATTCAATTTTATTTAGTATAGAATTATGAAATTGTCTTTTTTGTTTTTTAACTGTACGTTTAGAGCCCTGTACGTTTATATTCCTTCTTTTTTTTGCAAAAAAGACATGACGTAAGTAAATGTCGTTGGGAAATTTCGAGAGTAGACTACCTAAATTTCTCAAGTTCGTTTTCAGATTGTGACAATTTCCGTCATACCATTCCTGTCTCATTTTGGTATTACCTTTTTTGATCTTTTTCTTTTGCCTCTTAATGTTTAGAACTTTTTGTGAGGTATCAGACAAAATTTCTGAGAAATTAGCTACAAGTATATCTGTGTCGGTTGCTTCATCACTAGATACACCTTCATGCTGGAATAATAGCGATTCTAATTTATTTTCCAATTCGTATGTTCGTAGCGTGTTTCAGTTCCGTCGTTCTTTTTCTCTGTGGTTGTATAGGTGTTTGCACGATACACTAACGCTTTTATGGCGCTCAGTTTGTGTCTTTGTCATGATGAAATATCTATCGTTGGTAGTTGAGGTAGTTGTCCCTTGATTTCGTGGGGAAAAACTGAATCATAAGAATTATGAAAAGGTCAACATGCATGGACTTGCTCACATAGGATCAACATTGAAGACATGCAGGCATATTATCAACAAAGGAAATAAGATTAGAAAAATTAATTTAGACTCATGTTATTATTGTTGACATTGTTAATGACGCAGATATTAGAAAGTTTACGATTCACGGCGCGGCTATAGAGAGACGTGTTAAGCCCGTTTTCCACTAGGCGAATTTATTCGCGCAAACAGATAAAAAGTAGGAAGCGATCCTACTTTTTCGCCGCGAATTTTTTCGCCGACCAATCACGTTGCCGGATTTCGGTTTTCGCTTCGCGTCGCGCGAAAAAATTCCTCTAGTGGAAAACGGCCTTTAGAAAGGCTTGGCGTCGTCTTATTCTGTTCCCTACGTTACGAAACACGGCGCGCTAACATAAAACGTTTATTTTGGCGGGAAAATTATAGGTTTTTCAAAATCTTTGTAATTTTTGTTTAAACACCACAGAAAATGTAATCAAAGGCCTACTTCATCAAAAATAGAAAATTAAGAACTTAAATTCACATTTTCAATGTAAAAGTATTCGATACTCACTTGACAATCGCCGCGTGAAATTGACAAAATTCTGTCGCCCAATCGTCGACTACGCTTTGGAATTAGTAACAATATTCTATTACTCAACTGTCTTCTAAATTTACATCGCATCTCTCCAAATATATAACACATACAACGCTTACTAATTTTATTCGATGGGGTATATCAGGCTCACACATACCAAAGGTGAAAATGAACAGTTATAGCCAGGGACGCCGAAACGATAATAGGGCAAAGGGGGGCGGACGCACACCAAGGGCACCTTTACTGAAAAATTTTTTTTCACTGCAAAATTTTTTGGCGACCCCCCCCCGTCGCCAAAAAAGTTTCGGTCAGTTTTAGGAGTCAAAAATTTTTTCCGGACATACAAAAATTTTCCGTGACGCCAAAAATTTTTCCGGATATCTTAAATTTTCGCCATTTCTGCAAAATATTTTTCTAAATTCCAAAAATTTCCCAAAATTTTTATAAATATAAACTATAAATTGCCTGAATCTCGTGATTTTCCTACAAAAAGCATCATTGGAAATGTGATTTATCACGTATTATTTTACAACTAAAAGGGCACTTCTGCCCCCCCTGCCCCCCTAGCAAAAGGCAAGGGGGGCAGCCGCCCCCCCAGTTCCGGCGTCCCTGGTTATAGCCACAATTTTAACTTGATAATTGACGAAAGGTTGTGACAATCTCAACCAAATGACTAGTATTTTTGCATTATCTATAAATAAAACATTTCCGCGAGAACGGAAATGTATAATAATCCAACAACAATTTACCCTACAGGAACCTCTTCTTTGATTACTGATGATTTCAGTCATGAATTTCAGGACACAGAAGAGTTACCTGAGTACAAGAATCTTTTCCTTGAGAAAATATATACGTATATATACACAATTAAAATGACAATGTATTAAATTAATTTGATTACGTACCCTTTCTCTGGCATCTTTTCCCTTTAAATCCAGGAAGACAAGTACATTTGAAAGAATGTCCTTTCTCTGTACATTTCCCTCCATTTCGACATGGAGCTGAGGAACATGGTGAACCTATAGAATGACAGGTGACATGTTTGTATATACTATTGCTGTAGAGAGCGCTCCCCTATTTAATTACTGTTCCTGCCTCAATAATTAATTACTGTTCCCGAACGTGAATGTTTGATGGTTGAAGGTTAAAACCTTCATGCATACATATACAGTATTATTATATAGTAGAGCATGAGATACTGAAAAAATACACAGTGAGATATTTCCCATGTCTTCACTAGTTGCCTTTGAGCGTGAAATGACGCCAATAATGACAGGTGACTTGTTTGTATACTATTGCTGTAGAGAGCGCTCCCCTACTTAATTACTGTTCCTGCCTCAATAATTAATTACTGTTCCCGACCGTGAATGTTTGATGGTTAAAGGTTAAAACCTTCATACATACATATACAGTATTATTATATAGTAGAGCGTGAGATACTGAAAAAATACACAGTGAGATATTTTCCATGTCTTCACTAGTTGCCTTTGAGCGTGAAATGACGCCAATTTGCTTTTGAGTGTGAAATTTCACATTTTTTGCTTGGGACTATATAACAAACAGAACATTACACGGTGGCTTGAAGATATGACTTTTATCTTCTCGTTTTCATCACTCGAAGATAAAAGTCATCTCGCGCCGCCCTGTAATATCCTCTATGTACAGCATCATGCGACAACCGGGGAATGCAGATTAAATATTTTTCGAATTTTAATTGGAAAGATACTTTCCCATGCATGCATGCATGCATAGAACTATACCATTGTCTTGCATATTGGGGCTGATCTTGAAAAAATCTAAATTTTCTTAATCTTTAAATAGTTTTTTATCATCATGCAAATATTAATAACTTACTGACTGAGAGTGAGGGCAGTACGGGAAAATATCCAACCGAGGTCTTGCTGTATTGACCGAGCGATAGCGAGTTCAATACAGCAAGACCGAGATTGGATATTTTCCCGTACTACCCGAAGGGTTGTGCTCAGTAAATTTTTTATTATATGGCATTGACCATGCATTGTACGTTTGTACAAAATGGGAAAAAATGTTACGCGAGGGCAAAGTACAAAGTCAATTAGTCAAAGTCCCAAACTTTTGCAAAGAAGCAAAAAAAAATAGTAAAATGTTCTTTTGGTTAGTAAAACTACTCTACACCACTTTTTATATAGAATACCAACACAGTTTGGATATAATAGTATTTCAAGAAATATACGAAGTATTTCGTCATTTAATCAAAGACAACAAATATGAAAACAATAAAATTAATGAACAGTATGGACAAGTACGTTTTTAGTTCGCTTCAAGATCATCTCATATTTATGTCTCTTTTTATCTAACAAAAACAGAAATTTTCAGGGAAAAATTATAAGTCTGTGGCTGCTTTAGTTGTATTTTTTATTTAGGATAGTGTCAAATTCCTCTTGGCTATCTACAAATAAAATTTGCAGCTCTTCACATAGTCAAAACACAACTATTCCTGGCTGCTTTAATAGTTATAAATATTGTAAAATTTACTTTGTAATTTCGACTTTCGCTAACAAAAACGTATTGAAAAAGTTCTTTAACCACAGCAGTTGCTCCGTTGCTTTATTTTAGGTTTATCTTTCTTCGTTTTGAATAGTTTGAAACACTTTTAGACACTTTTTTCCGTTTGAAACTTGGCTCTGGAGTCTGGTCCCAGGGCAATAAAAAATTAAAAGTTGCGTATTGCCCAATACGGGACAATCCTGCCTATAGACAGCAGCCAATCAAATTGCTCGATTCATCAAAACAAATGCTTGCCATATAATAAATAACATATATTGCATGCTTACTAATTTTATTCGATGCTGTGGTATAAGCTCATGCATGTATATGGCTCAGGCATATGTTATTAAAGGTAAATATGCATGAATAACAAATAAAACTGATATTTATGCATTATCTAAAACATTTCCAATAATCGAAAATGCATAACAATCCAACAACAATTCACCCTATACAGGTGCATATAGTATACCTCTTCTTTCATTACTGATAATTTCAGTCATGAATTTCAGGACTCAGAAGAGCTACCTGAGTATAAGAATCTTTTCCTTGAGAAATTATATACACAATTAAAATTACAATATATTAAGTTGATTACCCTTTCTCTGGCATATTTTCCCTTTAAATCCAAGAAGACAAGTACACTTGAAAGAACGTCCTTTCTCTTTACATTTCCCTCCATTTCGACATGGAGCTGAGGAACATGGTGAACCTATAGATTGAATGACAGCTGATTTGTTTTGAACACCGTAATATTGCTGTAGAGAGCGCTCCCCTATTTAGCAACTGTTCATGCCTCAATAATTAATTACTGTTCCGCACCGTAAATGTTTGATGGTTGAAGATTAAAACCTTCGTACATACATATACAGTAGTACGGCATCATGCGACACCGGGGGAGTGCAGATTAAATGTTTTTCAAAGAAATCTCTAAATAATTTTCAAAGAGACCTCTGAATTTCCGAATAACTGTGTTTGGAGTGTTAATCATACATGGAAGCACAAATTCATAAATTGATTATCGATTATCCTACAGCGATACTTGAAGCGCGTAGGGAGGATACTATAATTCCAAATATTAATTATATAAATTAACTATATATATAATTCTAACACTGAAAATTAAGGCAATTAAGAGAATTTTAATATTAATACTCGAATGTCCTGCTATATAGAGAAATAATTAGCTCATCTTCGAGGTCTATTCCTATTTTGTACCAAAAACCATACATAAAGGAGGATTATTGAACAGTAAAGTTAACCCTGAAAATTAAGGCAAAACTCATTAACTGGCAAGCTGTTACAATGTTACCACCCCCTAAAGTGGCAAGCAATATGGCGAATTCATGATTGAATACCAAGCTTTCACCAAAATGGCAATATCTCAGAAACAATTGTATAAAAAAGTCTGATCTTTTCAACCAAACATGAATGATATATGATTGACCAAATTTAGTTTAGATGACCTTGCATACCTATATATATCATTAGTTTTTCAGTCAGTATTTTTATTTATAAAGCAGTGACACTTTGTTTTCCATGTCACTCATCACCTAAAGGGGCAATATCTCCATAAATTTATATAAAAACCAAAAAAAAAATCATTTACTAAATTAAGGCCATATAAAAAAAAATAGTTGGTTAGCGTCCTTGGCTTTTGCCAAAAAGTGGGCGGACGGGCGCTTTTTTTTTAATTTTTACTAATTTTTAACGCCTTGGTTTTACTCACTGTTAGGTCCGAAACTGGATTTTCTTGCGCAGTACAGATATTTTTTTTATATATTTCAAAATATAATTCATACCGTCATTTTCGCACGCAATTTCGCAAATTATTAACACAATTGACTACAGTCAACAGAAATACTACATATATTAGAGCCCGTTGATCAATAAAAGTCGGGTTTTTTTAAAATAAAAAATAAAAAAAGTCCTGAGCGGGGCCTTTTTTGTGGGCGGGCGGGGACGCTAACCAACTATTTTTTTTTATGTGGCCTAATACATATCTATATTACAACCAATTTTCATCTTTTGGGATATGAATTAGGAAAATATCAAAAAATTTAAAAATTACTTCTTTGGCTTTGCTTTTTTGGGGCATCTTGTTTACAACATGAAATTTATAACAGTAACTATGTGTTCAAGTTCAACAAAGTGTGCAAGCCAAAACACAGTGTTTGTGCATCTTTAAAGTTTTTTGATTGCTTCAAATATATTTAAAAAGACACATAGTGCTTAAATTTATTTATTTTAATATAAACCAAGGATGGGAAGGTGAGAAAATGGGAATTTTCTGAGGTGACAATGACAGCCGACATTTTGAAAGGCACTCTGCGGTGACAAAACTAAAAGCTATTCACTTACTTCTGTACTCAAAGCACTGAAAAGCATCATAAAGAGAAAAACAGTTTAAACACATGTCAGGTAAGACTTTTAGCTCAATATTTTCATGCTTCTATTGGGAAAGCAACGGTTTAAAAGCCAAAATTATTTTGCGTGCCAATGTAGGCTGCTATAAAATGTCAGACAGGCGGTTTCTTTTGAAGTCTGGCTCTGAAAAACAATCGCTTTTTTTGAGTTTGAAATAAGCCTTCATAAGGACTATTGTGTAGAAATGTTATCTATATCCTCACATGAAAAAGATAACCTAATATTCAGGTATTCCACATAGCTATAAAAGGGTGAAATAAGAACTTTCATCTTTGGTTGTTTGTCAGACGTGAGAAACCACATTAGTGCCATTTTGTCGCGCGTGCTATTTTATAAAATAAATACCTCAAAACCACACACTTTTAGTTCAGAAAATTACAAAGTTTCCCATAGACATTATTAAAAATGTTCTAGTGAAGCGATTTCATGATAAATAAGTGAGCAATGGCCCCAAAAGAACTGCTAAGGTTAGTTTTTGTTAGGACTTCAATTTCATGGCTTCCCACAAAGGAAGCCATTTCAGAGAGAAGCGACATTTTGCGAACAACCGTCGCGACCTATTTTGATAACTTTTCCTTCTGATTCAACGTGTAGTTACTAGAAAATGATGTTGCATCAACATTATTATCTGCTTTATCGATTTAAAGTTTTATATGGGATATAAAAAACAGTAAAAATGCATTTTGAAAGCTTTACAACTCAAGTGCGGACATTTTGAATATTCGCACGCGGCAAGCAAGCGCGTTTATTCAATACACTTATTTTAAACCACAATACGTCTGAAACGAGTTGTCATTTTAACACTAAATTGATGAAAATAGATATAACAGTGATTTTGGAATATCCTACTTATTTAGTGTAATTTAATACTCGAAGTATTCTTGCCAAAAAGGTCAAAAAGATTACGTACGCACACAGTAAGTGTCGTTTGAAATATACTTTAGCTAAAATAACAACTTGAACAACAAGACCAACAATGGGGTCACGAAAACAGTCAAAGTTGCGCCCAAATTTGCATAAACAGTTCGTCTAAAAAGATAACTTTAAACTAGATTCAACCAACATTAATGCGGTCGAATTTTGCGAGTGTTTGATCGCATATTTCTACTCAAAAATACCCTTTAAAAAATCGTCTCTGCTCACTTGAGTTCCGTGTTCATCTTTCTTGTGATTTCCGAGTTCTATTTTTAATAAAGTTTGGAGAAATCCTCATCTTTTTGGATGAAAATCTCGCGCAAGGTTCACAGAAGAACTTGGGCCAAAACGTCAATATATTCGCTTTCCTTTCATGCCAAATTTTCGTTGTAAATCATTCAAAAACGTCTTCTTTTTTCTCTTTTAAAACTTGCTGTGAAATCCTTCTTTGCAACAATATCGCCATTATTCATTATTTTTGAAAAACTAAGGTTTTAAACTTGAAAAACTTTGCGAGTTTTTGGCCGATTTTCTTGCATGATACACCGTTGAAAAGCTCGAATTTCGCGTTCTATTTTCGTATCCGTTGCTAGGCAACCCGATAAACACGTGCTCAAATATCATGCCCGCAAGTCGAGGTGTCATTTGAGGGCGTATGCGGGCGCATTGCCAGTTACCCACTTGCCAATCTCAGGGCGCATCCGGGCGCATTGCCAGTTAATGAGTTTTAACAAGGACATTGTTAATGCCGTAGTTTCAAAATTGGGGTTTTCTCCTAATATTGATTTGTTTGCCTCTTAGACCCCGGCGAAAATTTGTTCATGAAGTCATGAACTTTGATGGTGCATTCATGAACGTTCATGTAAATTCATGAACAGTTCATGCTCCGCTCATCAAATATTTTACCTTTGGTTTATGAACAAGTGTTCATGAAGTGTTCTTGAATGCTCTTCATGAACTGTTCATGAACAGTTGATGAATGGCCAATCAGTTCATGAACTTTTTGTTTTGAACAGAATAGTTCATGAATGTTCATGAATGTTCATTTGAATATTTCATGAACTGATTATTCATGAAAAATTCATAGAATTTACTTGATGAACATATCATGAAATTTTGATGAATTTGTACTGATTCATGAACGTTCATGATTTCACTTTGTGAACTACCATGAACTATTCATGAACAGTTTTAGTGGATTATAATACATCATAAATAATTCATAAAATGTATTAATTTAATGAATGTCGATGCATGTTTAATGATATTAACTTTACGATCGTATATTACGAGTCTGTAAAGAATTATACACTATATTCACTACTGTAGTCTGTATTAAATTTGTCATTTCAAATTGAGTGACATTTGAAAAAGTGCAATTTCTGAAACATTAGTTGATGCGTGGTTATAGTCAATATATAGAAAAAGCTGTCTTAAAGGTCTATACTTTTATATTATTCATTTCTATATTAATCGAACTCTGAACGTCTTTTCTGCCAATTTTATCTGATATCTAATCAGGTTTGCGCATCTTGGCCATGTAGACAGGCTGACGGCCAAGCCTCGAGCTATATACAAATAGTCAAATACAGCTCACATTTAGTGTGGGAAGAAAAATTTGCGTGCTTTTATAACGCAGCACTTCAGTTTTATTATGTTCTTCGTTGTTCTTGCTGGGTTTACTGGAGTTTGTAATTGGCTTGGATATGCATTTCAAGAATACAATGTTGGTGAAACTACCAGGAGGGGTATAGCTACGTCAGCGAAATTCCAGCAAATAGTATAGCGCAAATTAAGCGCAATCAAGTAAGTTATAATAGTATATCGGATCACCGTTTTTAATACGGCCATAAATTAATATGCCCAAAACGTTTCAATAAATGCGTTATATCAAATGTTTAACAAACCTAGTGTACATATACTCGGAACTATAGGTGTCTCCTCAACCTTTAATTGCCAAGTATTGATCTTACAGTAGCTAAATTTTCTATGGTATGACAGCGCAACCGCATGGTGCAAATATTGTACGGATCGAGACAGAGTCGAAGTGATAATACTGTGATGAACTGTATATACAGTATATATAAGAAATCGAGTTTTGAAATCGATTAAATTTATATATAGTCGTGCATGATTTTGCCATCAACTTATTCGAATGAGGAATTATTATTGAATTAAGAAGACTCGTAAAAGTGGAACGTATTTCATTTCTTATAGCATTCATAATGATTGTACACTATATAGATTATTACGAGCACACATTTGACCAAGAAATGCCTAAATAAACTCATATATAATCTATACGCCTTGTTTGCGACTGAGTTTGCCCTGTGGTAAAATGCGGCATGACTGGTCGGAAGACTTAATTTG